ACCCCTTTTCTTCTCTCTCCCAAACCTACGTACATTTATCCAACACTGTGACCCATTTAGAGGTCTTTTTTTTTTTTTTTATCTAAATCTGTCTTTATTGTGTATCTGTATTTTCTGATCAGAAGCGTCTTTTTTTTTCTTTTTCTTTTTGCTAAGTGAGTATGGCTAGGGCCAACAAGCAAGGCCCTGCCTGTTGGCTCTGCCCAGTCTCACGTGGAGGAGGCATGCTCACTGCCTCTGAGGCTGCCTGGTGGGAGCTGTCCTCACCACCTCAACTCTAGGAGCACCGTGCAGCATTTAAACCCTTTTTATCTGAGAAAAAGCTAAATCTGCCATGCAGTGCACTGCATGGCCTGGAAATATCTCTGTGTATGGTGGTGGGAATCCGCCATGTTCTCCTGCATGCCTAGCAGACCTGATTCTGCCACCTGCCCAGGTGGGGAGTGCTGAGCCACAGGCATGGTCTCAGTTTCCTACTGATCCTGAGTGAGCACATAGGCATCAGGACCCTAAGTGGTCAGCCACAAATGTTTCAGACCACATTGGTGCTCCAATTTGTTGTAGGAGGCCGCTTGTACATTCCCAGCCACTTAGACCAGAAATAATCACAAAGAAACTGTATTCATTAAATCACTACTTGGCCTATTAGCTTATGCATATTTCTAGCTCACTCTTACCCTTTAAATTAACCCATTTCTATTATTTTATATTTTACCATGAGGCTCATGGCCTACTAACAAGGTTCCGGCTAACAGCTTATGTCTTTTTCCTCTGGCAGCTCCATGGCATCTACTTGACTCAGCCTACTCTCTCTATAGATCTCTTCTAGCCTGGCTATATTCTGTTAAGCCATTGGCTGAGAGCAGCTTCTTTATTCATTTGCCAATAAAAGCAACACATTTACAGAATGGGTTCCCACACCATGCCTCTGGCTGCCAAGCAGTGAAGATCTGCACATCTCCCATCTCCATTGTGGTATTGTTGGAGCAGCACCGACACATCAACATAGTCCTCCAGTCTGTTACTTCAAATCTCTAAGAATATGATTCAAGTGACTGGAGAGATGGCTCAGAGGTTAAGAGCACTGACTGCTGTTCCGGAGGTCCTGAGTTCAATTCCCAGCAACCACATGGTGGCTCACAACCATCTGTAATGAGATCTGGTGCCCTCTTCTGGCCTGCAGGCATACATGGAGGCTGAACACTGTGTACATAATAAATAAATAATTCTTTAAAAAAAGAATATGATTCAAGCCATATTATGACATAATAGACTTAGAGACATTATGGGCAGGAGGACACTAAGATCACCATTGGGGTCAGCCTGGGTGCAGTGGAATACTGGCCCTTCTTCTGAGCCTAACAGCCATCATCACCTTCATGAGGGCAGTCATGAAGACTGTAAGACATCCTCAAGGTTGGGCCTGTTGATTCTCCTTCACAGAAGGTTGAGGACTGTCATTAGCCCTCCTCTGAGATGCCATTCCTTCCTACACCACCTTCCCATCTGAGTGGTCCCAGGCTGCTCACGGCCTCAGGAGCTGATAGAGTTCACAGGGTGCAGGGGAATTGTCTGAAAGGAGAATCCCATTTACACAGCTATGGGGACATTATCATCATTCCTGGGTAAGACTTTTGATCGTCCAGCTGCCTTGGGGTCATGCACAACTCTCTGTGAACCCAATACACTCACTGGCTTGCCAAGTCTGGCTTCAGGAAATAACACACAGTCTGTTGCAGGAGCCCTAATGGTGAACCCCTTCTTGTAGAGAGAAGTTTATGTGATACTGGGCCAGAGGGTGAAGGGGGCAGGGCTGTGTGGAGGAACCACGGTGGCAAAGCCTCTGGAGTTACAGATGGTTGGGAGCCGCCATGTGTGTGCTGGGAACCGACCGTGTCCCTGCATCTCTCCATGTGTGTGCTGGGAACCGACCGTGTCCTCTGCATCTCTCCACGTGTGTGCTGGGAACTGACCGTGTTCCTGCATCTTTCCATGTGTGTGCTGGGAACTGACCGTGTCCCTGCATCTCTCCATGTGTGTGCTGGGAACCAACCCCGTGTCCTCTGCATCTCTCCATGTGTGTGCTGGGAACCAACCCTGTGTCCTCTGCATCTCTCCAAACTGTTTTTTTTCCCAGATTTTTAATTTTCTGTGTATGCAGTTGAATGCATGTATATGTACCACATTCGTGCAGGTACCCTAGGAAGCCAGGTGACATTGGATTCCCTGGGTCTGGAGTTACAGGTAGTTGTGAGTTGCTATGTAGGTACTAAGGTGTGGGAGCCCATATGTGACTCAGTTTCCATCTGGAGCTCATTCTGACTTTTAAGTCATTTGAATTCAATCTTGTCTACTCTGCTTTTTAAAATAACCTTGAGGGCTGCGAGAGACTTCTGATTTAGCCCATGAGAAAAGAGCACTTGATCTAGTACACTGCTGGCGACAAACCTCAGGAACAAGATAGAAAGTAAGGCAGCTTCTGAGCAGCAAGCACGTGTTGGAGAGGAGGCTGCTCAGTCAAGGACAGGGACGGTCTTGTGGTTGGTAACTGACTGACTGTGCTATGCTTTGTTCTGCTTTTGTATATAAGCAAGTTCTGAAATAAACTCTGGGCTGTTTGGCTGTTTCGGCATAGACCAGACAGATCGCCTGATTCTATCCTGTGTCTTCTGTCTCAGCTTCTTTCATCTGAAATTTCCTCAGCCTTGATGACCCCAATCCAGGAACCCTAGCTGACTTTGTAGGAGTGGGTTCCTACACTAGGGATGGAACTAGGGTGCTCTGTAAGAGTGGCAAGGGGCAACTGAGCTGGTCCCTGGTCCCTTTGGGCAATGTTTCAGCCTATATCCCATGGTGAAGTCACTCTGTCGCCCAGACTGGCCTTGATTTGACAGCAATACTCCTGCCTCAGCCTTGTCAATGGCAAGATTACAGGTGTGAGTTACCATATCTGGCTTTACTGTGAATTTTCTTTTTTTAAAAAAAATATTTATTTATTTATTATGTATACAACATTCTGCCTCCATGTATGCCTGCATGCCAGATCTCATCACAGATGGCTGTGAGCCACCATGTGGTTGTTGGGAATTGAACTCAAAACCTCTGGAAGAGCAGAGGTGCTCTTAACCACTGAGCCATCTCTCCAGCCCATGAATTTTCAAAAAGCATATTTTCTTGCAGATCCATAAGACAGTCATCAATTTTGGGAAACTCAACACTGATCCAATCCTTTACATCTAGACTTGAGTTCTATCCATGAAGTCTGAGAGTCCTGTGTGGCATTTCCCTTCCCTCCTGGGTCACTAATGTCAAGTATTGCATGTTGTTGATGGAACTGGAAGACTTATACAGCTCCCAGTCTTCCAGCATCGGCTACAGAATGTTCCTTTTCAAGCTTGGTCTGGAGCCCACGCCTCTGTCAAGTTTCGGCAGTCTGGCCTGGATGAGAGATGCGTCCCAGCACCACCTGGGAGGTGCAGTGACTACCTGCTTTCAGTAGGGATACTCACGCTTGCCACTTGGCCAAAAGGTCACCTCAGTTCTCCATGGCAACCATTGAGTCCATGGGGAACAAAGACCCCATCTTGAAGAGTTTTTCTCTTTATCCACTTGTCCAATTGCTTAACCTCTTGTGATAGATTAATTTGGTTTTTGTTGTTTCTGGTTTGTTTATTTTGATATAGGGTGTCTCTATGCAGCCCTGGCTGGTCTGGAACTCACTGTGTAGACCAAGTTGGTCTTGAACTCACAGAGATCCACCTGCCTCTGACTCCTGAGTGCTGGGATTAAAGGTGTGCACCACCATACCCAGATTTAGTTTGGTTTCTTGAGGCAGGGTCTCGCGCCATAGCCTGTGCTGGCCTCAAACTAATAATGACGCTCATGTCTCAGTTCGCCAGGCATTGGAGTTACAAGTGTGAGCCACCATGCCTGGCTTTCTCTAGCGATCCTGTCACAGCTTTGTAGGCAGGCTCAGCCTTTCTCCTCAGCTCCCTCTTGTGCTTGTTGAAGTGTCTCAAAGACTCACGGGACTTCTGGATTCAGCATCCAGGGGGCAGTTGTATAGCACAAGCATTTAGTTCATGGAATGAATGAATCCACAAGTTTTTTTTTTCTTCTTCCCTTTTTCTGAGGAATCTCAACCACAGGGCCCAGCAGATGTGATGGCTGTGAACAGGGGAGTGGAGGAGGGGGGCGCTGGCTCAGGGGCAGGAAGTCCTCAGGGCCAGGGCAGAGCCTTTTTCTTCCAGCACCCAGAGGTGCCTTCAGTTCTCAGCTCAGTTGCTCCTGGCCACAGTGGGAAGGCTCATCGGGTGACCTGTGTAGACCAGAGTACTTTACCTCGGCAAACCCAGGTTTGCCTACCCGAGGGTCTCCAAGTATCTCCCGTTCTGTGTGCCCCCTCCTGACAAGGTCTGTGCACCTGTTCCTGAAACTCCCGTGTGCGCCTGCCCTCTGCACCTCTTGGTACCGTCCCTCACCACAGGACCACCTCCTCATTCCCCGCCCCTGTGAACTGTATCCTTCATCTCCGGACTAGCCTCTCATCACCTCTGGACCATCGCTCTGACCTCCAGGCCACCCATTTCACTTCGGGACCAACTCCCGATAGACTGGCCCCTCACCTGTGGGACATCTTCACTTGTAGACTGTTCCTCCTCACCTGTGAGCCACTTCCATTCCCCTACAGTTCTGTCTGCCCCCCTCACCTGTGGCTGGGCATCCACACGGGAATCAGCAGATAGGCTGATGCCGGAGTGGGTACATGGGCTGAGCTACAGCCCTCCCCTCCGCCCCAGCACACCTACTACGCGCCTGCTGCGGCCCGCCCCACCCCGCCTCCTAGCGCCTCCACCAATAAGCGCGCTGCACCGCATCCGGGGACCCGCTTGGGCGCCGCCTCCCGCGCGCACGCTCGGCCATGGCGGAGGTGAGTGCGCGGCTGGGCAGCGGCCCCTCCCACACGCTGCCCTCAGTCACCCTGGTCTGGCTCGTGCTCTCCCAGCCCGAGCGCCCCGAGCCTCCCTTCTACCCCCGGGCCGGAGCGTGAGCCCCGTGGGCGCCCGCCGCGCCCCAGCTCGGCCACGGCGCGCATGCGCGGCCGGGCGAGGGGGAGGGGCGCGAGGCGCGGGCGACCGGGTGCCGGGCCGAGACCCGGGGCCGCGCGGTGGGAGGGCGCCGCGGACGGGGTGGGTGGGCGGCGCTGGCGTCTGGGACGGCGACGCGGGGCCCGCAGCCGAGCGCGCTGGGGTGAGCACGGAGCGGAGTCCGCGGCGCTTTGCGAGTGGAAAGTTTCGCGCGTGGAGTTCGTATGGCTGTAGGAGGTAGGGCGCGGGCCTCCCCGCGGGCGCGGGGTTGCGGAGCTCTGCCCAGAGCCCACCTGCACCACTGGGTGCGGCCGCTGAACCCCGGAACCGGCCCCCATCGAGGCGCCGCGAACCCGCCACTCCAGGACTGCAACTCAGCACGGTGGGCGAGTGGGGCCGCTTGGGTAGCAACAGGCCCGCGCGCGGGCCACAGGGTCGCGTTCTGGAAGTCCACTTGGACCTCTCTGGCTGGTTGATCCGGAGGGTTCTTACGGGCGTAGTTCCTTCTTTAGGGGGCTTTTGGGGAAACTGAGGCAGATCAACCTTCGGGACATGGTGGCCAAGTGGGTGCTCTTGGGCCCCAGGCTACTCTGTCCTGGGTGACTTGGGTGGTGGACACTTAGCAGACTGCCTCCGTTCTGTTCTGGAGTCTAGGATTTAGAAGGGGTCGGCCTCAGTTTCCCCATCTCAAGTGGGACCGCGTTGGTATCTTCCCATAGCTGAGAGGTCCGGTGAAGTCCTGATGCGTCGTCTCTCATGTGGTGACGTCCACATATCTTTAAGTCATAGAAGTGGACACGGTCATCTAGAAGTCCTCTTTGTTAGTGCTTGTTAGTGTGTGGCTCAGTGAAGGGTGGAACCGTCTTCGTCTTCACAGGGAGACGGCCACCAGTCTCAGCTGTGGGAGCCCCGGTGGCTTGTCCTGCTCTTAGTCTGAGCTTTATCTTTTCCCTGTGCCTACCTTTGCTGCCCTCCTGAGACCACCCACCCCATGGAGTCCTCCCTGGTACTCTGAATTTCCATGGAGCTATCCCCCAGTTGTCGCACCTCATCTGGCCCAGGGATGCCTTCTTTGACCCCACTGCCCAGCCTCCACCTTGTTTTCTTCATGCCTGTGCCATCGTTTAGCCCCCATGTATTTGTCCTGTGTCCCAGCTCCACGTGGGTGGAGACAGGCTGAACCCGTTCTCTGGGGATGTCCTAGGTGCCACAGTGGAGGGGTGAGGCTGGGACACCGGGGGTACAGGGGCACTTGCCTGGGTGTGGACGAGTCTTACTCTGTAACTCCTCGGCATTCATTTGACCTCATAATTCTTGGAGTTTGCTTGAAATCTTGTGGGTTGCCATTGTAAGTAACTGGACTTAGAACTAATGCTGAGGCTCCTTCCCCATGGGGCTGTGGGCTGCCACACATGTATGAGGTCTCTGCATGGCTTGGGCTTCCTCACATCATGGTGTCCATGCTGTAAAAGATGCTCTGTGGAATGCTGGGGACAGCCTCCGAAGTTAGTACCTGTCCTAACAGTCTCAGTCTGGAGGGTCCTGGGTGGAGACCTGCCTGTGAGGTGCCGCCTGCACTGTGTCTGGGCTTCTGACGGTCAGGGTGATGGTGGTCATGCTAATCCACTTGCATGCTCATCCTCTGTTTTCAGGGACCTGGATGGGGGACCCCGCTTGCCTCTGGCCTCTTCCTTAGGTTTCAGCCTCTAGTGTGTTTGTCACCTGTGTTATCTTAGCTCCGAGGGGCATTGCTGTCCTTTGTCTTTCCCGATGTGTGGGAAATAGGGCCTTGGACCACCCTTTAAAGTGATGTACCTGGTTTTCCAGTGACCATGTCTATCTTGGGGATGTTGAACTTGGCCTGGTTGGAAGGAAGAAACTGTGGCTCCCCAGTTGGCTGTGTCTCTCACTGTTCTTAGCTCCTCTCTGCTTGAGCCTGTTTAGGTCTGACCCCACTGAGGAGCCCTGACCTCTGACCTGAAACAGGACGTTTTTCTCATTTTGTCTAGATAATGAGACTGAGACTGTTGCTAGGCTGCTGTGCAACTGTGGAGCCCTTTGGGGTCTCCTGTCTTAGTTAGGGCTCCTGACTGTAGGGAAAAAGGCCAGTCCTTGGGCATAGTTCCAAGGACACTGGGGCACCCTCCCCGTGCCTTCACATCTGCCTGTTGATCTGCTTGTAGCCTGTGTTCCAAGAAGGTTAGGATGCCTTGCCTCACCACACCAGGTACAGCCTGCCTGAACGCCTTGTTCTTTCCCTGCCTTCAGCCCCTGTGGCTGTCCTAGGTGGGCCCCTTGCTGAGTGAGCAACTTGACCTCTCTGGGCTGTAGTTTACTTGTTTCTTTCCTGGAAGGGATGAATGCTTCACCTCTGAGGTTCTCTGAGGACCTAGTGCTACAGTGCTCTAAGTTTTAAACTTTCTTTAACATTCTAACTTTTTGGGGGGGGGGGGAATGTATCTTTATTTCTTGTGTATTAGTGTTTTTGCCAGAAGAGGGTGCAAGATCTCCTGGAATTGGAGTTACATTGGCTGTGAGCCGCCATGAGTGCTAGGAATTGGACCCCAGTGCTCTTAACCACTTAGCCACCTCTTCTGCCCACATAGTAATAGTAATAGTAATAGTAATAGTAATAGTAATAGTAATAGTAATATTATTCTTAGCAGCAGCTTTGCTGCGGTACACCCTGTCTGTCTTCCTTTTAGTGTGTACAGTTTGGTAGCTTCTGGTGTTTTTGAAGTTGGTATAACTGCCAACACAATCAGTTGAGAGTGTTTGGTCACCTCTAAAGGAAGCCCTGTCCCCATGAGTAGTCACCCTGGCCCCCTTTCCAGCACTCAGCCAGTGCAAACCTACTTCCTGTCTCAGGATTCACCTCTAGTGTGCATTTCCCATCATGGTGCCCCCACACTGTGTGACCTTGTCTTTGTGGTGCTCACATGGTCCCCCTTGGTTCAAGTGGCATGTGTGAGAGAGCCTTGCTTGTTTATGACTGTGTGATACTCTGTGGAGTTTCCTTCATCTGTTCCTCCTACCTCTGATTGAGGTGAATGACTCTCCTGTGTGCCTTTCTCCTGGAGTAGAGGTGCTGGTCACACGGTGGTATGACTTTGGGGATACTGCCAAGCCATTCCTGGTGCTGCATTCTTGTCTCCAGGAATGCAGGCTCTGATGCGCCTTCCCTGTTCTGGGCTTACTCATTTTTTTTTAAATATTTATTTTTATTATGTATACAATATCTGGTGTGCATGTATGCCTGCAGGCCAGAAGAGGGCACCAGATCTCATTACGGATGGTTGTGAGCCACCATGTGGTTGTTGGGAATTGAACTCAGGACCTTTGGAAGAACAGGCAATGCTCTTAACCACTGAGCCATCTCTCCAGCCCTCTGGGCTTACTCTTGGAGTGCGCTCTGTTCTCATAGGAGCAAGATATGTGCTCTGGGCCTGAGACATTGCAGGCAGGACCATTGTCTTTCTCTTCGCTCAGTAAGCGGTCTGTACATGCATGTGCCTCTCTTCAGATATGTCTTTGCCAGTGTTTCCTCCCCATTCTGTGAGTCCTGTCACAAGCGTCGGTCTGCTTGTTTGGTTAGGTGTGTTGGATCCGTGTGTCCAGGCCATTGGGGAGTTTGTCTCAGGTCCCAGTTGTGTGCCTCTGACCTGAGCCTATCTGTGGACGCATACCGCCCCGCTGAAATGTCTCTGATAGTCATCTGTGAAATTGGGAGCACCCTGTTGTAGGATGGTTTTAGCTCTTCTGGGTCCCTTGAGTTTCTCTGTGTACTGTTTGGAATTGGCTTGTCGATTTCTACAATTTAGGTGGTGTTGGCTGTCTAGGTCACTTCAGAGGGTCTCCGTCTTCCAGTGTGGGGACCTCGGCCAGGAACATGGTTATCTTTTCTCCCATACCAGTCGTTTCTCTGTCAGCAGAACATGGATGTGTTCTAAGGGAGCATATGCTGTGTGCACCCCAGCTGTTGTGAGTAGAGTTGTTTCCTTAATTTACGGAATCTCCATAGCTGGAGTTTGGGACCAAGATGGCGTTTAGCCCTGCTGAACCATCTCTGTATCACCACCTGGAAGAGGTGCCCGTCCTCTGTCCCTTCATTTCATTCTCTTGCAGTGACACTGGAGCCTTAGCTGGTGTTGATAGAATGGGGGATGTGTCCAGGCTCAGCCCTGAGGTCGCTTGGTCCTGGTTTCACAGACATGGCCTCAGTTTGCTGCCACTTGTCACCTCCTCTCAGTACAGTGGGACCGGTGTAGCTGCTGCTTTCATTTCTAGAGCTGCTCTCCCCAGCCAGCAGAACCCTTGAGTCCAGTTCCACTCTCTGCTTTGTCAGGAGTGCTACAAGTCTACCCTTCTGTGTCTTTTATCTGTCACCAAGCCCCATGTCTTCAGGGTCCCTCCACACGGAGCTGTGACTGGGCAGTCCCCAGCCTGCTTGCCCTGCTGGCCTCAAAGTTACCCAGTGGCTGGGCTCTCACCAGGGCCTCAGTAGCTGCGTGAGGTCTGCTTGTGGGTTCTGGCTCCTGAGCCAGCACCACCTTTCTTTCTTTGCAGGCCTCCTCACTGGAGAGGCAGAGTCCTTGTGTGGCCCCCTGCCTTGCACACAGCCTGTGCCCTCGGGAGTGCAGCTTGCAGGCTACAGCAGGTAATCCTCACCCTTCGTGTCCTAGACCTCCAGAGACAGAGCCCGTGCTCAGCTTGACTGAGCTGCACTGTCCCCACCAGGTGGAGTCGCGCTCAGGGGTCAGGACGCTCCCTCTCCTTAGAGCCATGGGATGGTGGCTAGCTGGCTAACTGAGAGTGACAGGGAGGGCCCTCCCTGGGGTGGCTACATGCCTGATGACTTTAAGGTCTCTGGCTGGTCTGCTGGTAGTCTGCTGTGGGCCCTTGTGGGTGAAGTGATGGAGGTTTCTGCCACCATAAATGTCACATGGATGTGGCCCTGCAGATAGCAGAGCTTGGTGCAGCTACAGTGACTTGTGTGGTGTTGCCTATGTGGCCCCACATGTGAATTGGGCACCGTGTCCATATTGTCCATAGCCCAGAACCAGGGCTGTGGCTGTGGGACCGGACCTGGGACACCTCCCTTGCCTTCCACGGTCACCTGACTGATGCCTCCCCTCTTCTAACCCCAGTGCCCTTCTAGACCCATCTGCTTCTGCCCAGTCTCTGGGCCCTCCAGACCTACCTCAATTCAGTCCCCACACTCTGCTACCTGCTGCACTCTCCCACAGTGGTATCCATGGGCTCTGCAGACCACCGGTTTAACCTCGCAGAGCTCTTGTCACAGAACTACAGCCTCCGAGAGGGCTGTGCTGAGGCCCCGCAGTGCCCTGACAAGCCGGAGGACCAGCTGGACAAGGACTTCATCGCGCAGGTGTGATCACTCACCAGTCTGATCCAGTTGCTCCCCTTGTTCTCCATGTGGTTTGCATGGTGCTGTGCTGGCCCCACCTCAGCCTGCTCTGCTCCCCAGAACCTGGGCTGGTGCTCAAGCCTGCTTATCTCCTCTGTGGTCCTGATGCAGTTGTAGTGCCCCATGGGGACTCACTGAGGGGTGTCAAGGGGTCCCAACTGTGGAGGTCAGCGGGACTCAGGCACAACACTAGGCTTAACCCCCCACATGGGTCCGGTACTCCTTCCCCAGAGCAGTGACATGCCCCTGGATGAGCTGCTTGCACTGTATGGGTACGAGGCATCAGACCCTATCTCTGAGCAGGAGAGCAAGGGTGGAGACGCAGCCCCAACCCTCCCGGACATGACCTTGGACAAGGTGAGTGGAAGTGCCCCTGAAAGGTCCCCAGGGAGCCACTGGTTGCCCTGAGTTGGAGGTGAAGAGCAGGGATATCAGGCCCAGGATGGGGAGCTACTCAGTCAGCAAGTGCGACAGTTGCCCAGGGTTACTCTGCTGCTCCGCCCTCTCTGGTACAACCACAGTGACCCTGCCCTGGGGTAGGGCTGACACCCATTCCCATTCTGGTTCAGGTGATGGATGCCATCCAGGGGAACTGTGGCAGGGAAAAGAGCTGGAGCCCCAGAGGGCATGTGGAGTCTGCATCTTGGGCCAACACAGACAGTGTCTTGAGTCCCCTCCGCCTGGCAGGCTTGGCGTTTTTTGTTGGTGTAGATAAAGTAATTGCCACACTTGATTTGCTGTCCTGTTCAAAGGAGCAGATAGCCAAGGACTTGCTTTCTGGGGAAGAGGAGGAAGAGACGCAGTCCTCCGCTGATGACCTTACCCCATCTGTCACCTCCCACGAGGCCTCGGACCTCTTCCGTAACCAGAGTGGGTATAGTGTCACTGTCACTAACATTGCTGCTGTGTGTCACCTAGGCCTGCATGCACAGCCTCAGCTGGGGGCTTTGCCAGGGAGATGCTATGGTGGCCCAGGGTGGGGCTGGGGACCGCTGTGTGGACTGCCATCGAAGCCCCTGGAAGGGCCGACCGTACTCTGGTGGGTCCCCTTACTGCCTCTCTCTCTTCAGCTCGGTTCTTGGCTGGTGATAATGGCCCAGGCTCTTCGGTCTCCTCCGACACTGAGGAGGACACGCTTCCTGCCAACAAGTGCAAGAAGGTGTGGAGCTGTGTTACCATGTGCCTCCAGGATGGGTGGGGCCACCGTGTGCCTGGACCTCGGTTGTGTCTCTGCTGGGGATGACTGACCCAGCATCCTGCAGGGCAGGGCAGGGCAGCAGAGTGTTCTGTGTCACCCACCAGAGTACAGAAGGGGGCACTGTGTGGCAGACCCACAGTTCTGGGTGGCAGCCTCTGCTTGGAGTCCATGGTGCCTGTGGGGTCCCAGCTTCATGTCTTCCATTCACTTCCTGACCCTCTCCCTGGTCCTTGCCTCTGCAGGAGATCATGGTGGGGCCTCAGTTCCAGGCTGACCTCAACATCCTGCACTTGAGCCGACATTGCGACAAGAGTAAGTGGTCCCGGAGGCCTGGGGTTCTGTCCAGGGACTCCGGGATTAGGCAGCACCTCAGCAAGTTTCTGTTTGCTGTCTGCAGGTGGAGTCCACCAGTCTTAGCAGTACCCTAGGGTAATGTCCCTTGCCCAGGCTGTGGGTGCCCACTGCCCGTGTGCACTGGCACTACCCACAGCACCCTTCCCTGGATGGTCTAGTGTCTCCTCTGGGCCTACCCTGCGTATGATATGCTTGCTGCTCCTGTATCCCCTAATTGTTCCTTGATCTGGGAGGTCACTTCCTGTCTGGACTTCTTGCCTCCTGCCTGCAGGGCACTGCCAGTTGAGCACCCTGCTCTACCCGGCAGCAGGGGTCAGAGACCTTGCAGGGGATGACTGCTGGGATGTGGACTGTGCAGGGTGTGCCCACTTAGGGTGAGGCACAGAGACACTTAGTCAGCAGGCACCTACACTTGCCCCGCTCTGTCCTTGAGCCTGGACTGGTATGCACCCAGCCCTCAATGTCATTCAGGCGTCTTCCATGACCTCCAGTAGCTGTCCCTCTGTGGACTGTCTGCTGCTTGTGTAGTGGGTGTCAGCTATTCCTTAGTCTCACATTCATCTCTTGGCTTGTTTCACATTGTCCCCAGGTGGGTGGAGAGTTCCTGGACTGTGGACCCAACGCTTTATCCAGCGCCCATATGGTTTGCAGGAGTTGTTATTTATTTGCATGTTTGGGACACAGCCCAGGCTGATTCTGTTCCTGGTAGTGGCCAGCTCGTGGCTTCCCTCCTGCTGTCAGGGTGGTGTCAATCTCTGTCCATTTGTTCAGTAGCTGGCGGACGCTTTGTGGGTCGGTGTGTATATTTTGTGTCATTCACTGGGGACATAGTGGCCTCTTCCTTTGCATCTTTACACGTTATGCCTACATTGTGTGTGTGTGTGTGTGTATGTGTGTGTCTGTGTGTGTGTATACCAGGTTACACTGCCCTGTGGAAGTGTTGGTTGCCGTTCTTCAGAGGCAGGAAGACTGTTGTCCCAGGAAGTGTGTGTCAGTTCTGCTACGAAGCCGTCTGTGCTGTGCTTCACTTCTGGTTTTACTCATTTTAGTTTTTTAAAACAAAAAGTTTCTCTTTGTAGTCTAGGCTGACCTGGAACTAGTTCTGTAGACTAGGCTGGCCTTGAACTCACAGAGAACTGTGAACTTTTAACTGAGTTCATAGACTTCAGTGTGTGTGTGTTCTCTTGTTTATTTCCCTTTTTGAGACAGTGTATAGATGGGCAGATGGGCTAACACTCTCAAGTGCTGGGCTCCTCGATGAATACCACCATTCTGGTCAAGCTCTGCTGCTGTCCTGTTTCCGCTGTGTTTACTATGTACCGAAGCTCTGCCTGCAGCTGGGCATACTGAGTGGCACTGCCTCTGGGGCCCTGTTCACTGACTTCACACCCCGCCTTTTTTGTTCCCTCAGTACCCATAGCCCTCTTGGGTCCATATGATGTTGAACTGCAAGTGCCAGGAGTTGGTTTCACCCATTGGGAGGTGCTGAAGCACCTGCCCTGGCTCCCCTGGTGTGGGTAGCCATTGTCACAGCTGACTCCCAGCCTCTTCCACAGTCTATGAGAATGAAGACCAGCTGCTGTGGAGCCCCAGCGTGCTCCCGGAGCGGGAGGTGGAAGAGTTCCTGTACAGAGCAGTGAAGCGGAGGTGGCAGGAGATGGCTGGCCCCCAGATCCCAGAGGGCGAGGTGGTTAAGGACAGTGAACAGGTAGGGGTCACACACTGGGTGTGCTCGTAGGGGGGACTGCACATTGAAACAGCTTGGGGGCAATGGTTTCAGTCTGATCATACCTGGGGGTCTTGGTGTGGGTGCTGTCGCCGTGGCTCTGGAGCTGTGGTGTGGGTGCGGTGCGTGGTGAAGGTACTCTCCGTGCTGGCCCTGGTAGGCTGGTGGAAAAGCTAAACCACTCTCTGCCCTAGGCGCTGTACGAGCTGGTGAAGTGTAATTTCAACGTGGAGGAGGCCCTGCGCAGACTGAGGTTCAACGTAAAAGTGATCAGAGGTGAGCTGCAGCCCTGGGCTCCCGACCCCTTGTCCCTGCTGCCCCCAGCTGCTTGAGCGCCCCCTCTCTTTGCAGATGGGCTCTGCGCCTGGAGTGAGGAAGAGTGCAGGAACTTTGAACATGGCTTCCGTGTTCACGGGAAGAACTTTCACCTGATCCAGGCCAACAAGGTGGGTGAGGTTCACTGTCCTGGCAGACCTGCCCTTCCTGTTGATGGCTCCCCTGGGTCTTGGCCACGCTCACCAGGCCCCTTTCTCACCCCAGAGTTAGAGGCTCCTGTCCTGAGCTGGCTTCTCACCCACACCCTGTCACCTTTTTGTCATCCAGTGCTGCACACTGGAACGGGACGCCCGGGTCTTTCTTCCTTCGCAGACCTGGATCCCCATGGGCACTTTCTCTGCTGCAGTGCCACTGGTCCTGCTCTGGACTGACGTGTGCACAGCCCTCTGCCTGAAGTTGTTAGGTTTTGTGGCTGCTGGCAGCCAAGCCCTGCACTAGCCTGGTTGCCTGGGGACCGGTTCACTTGAGGAGTGTTGTGTTATCTTTAGTGAGTGGTGGTGCAGGGGTGACTGTCACTGTGCTGGGTGCTGGCCGGAGTCAGTGCTCAGTCCTGAACTGTCCCAAGAGGACCGCACTGCAAGGTTAGGTTCCTCAGATTATGACCTGTGCCTGTGGAAACCGGCCCTGCCTACGCGTGTGCAAGGCCTGCCCTCTGGGCAGGAGGTGTAGATTCCGGGCCTCTGTGAAGTGCTGTGTCCTGGACAGGGGTGGGGCCATGAATCAGAGAATATCAGGTGCGACACTACTGGGGACATTGGAGTAGCAGTGCCACAGGTCATAACTTGGCACAGCTCTGGGATTTGGGATGCATGGTGGCCATTGGATGATCTGCCACCTGTGTTCCAGTGTAGTAAGGGAGCTGCGGGCTGCGGTCCTACCACCTGGCTCCCGGCCGCCTGGCTAGCTTATGCCCGGAAATAATTACACAGAAACTGTATTCTTTTAAACACTGCTTGGCCCATTAGTTCTAGCCTCCTAATGGCTAACTCTCACATCTTGCCTGACCCATATTTAGTAATCTGTGTAGCACCAGTCTTACCGGGAAAGATTCAGCATGTCTGACCTGGCGGCTTGCTTCATCGCGGCTGCCCTGGAGAGGAGAGGCATGGCATCTGCTTAACTTCCTCTTCTTCCCAGCATTTTGTTCTGTTTACTCCACCCACCTATGTTCTAACCTATCAGGCCAAGCAGTTTCTTTATTGATTAATCAATGAAATCAACAGATTGATATATGACACTCCCACATCATTCCCCTTTTTCTGTTTAAACAACAAAAAAAGAAGGCTTTAACTTTAACATAGCAAAATTACATATAACAAAACAGGTATCAAGCAAGAATTACAGTTACAATATTTATATCTATTTTATCTTTTACCATAACAAAGGAAAACTATAACTAACCATTCTTCAACTCCATCAAAGACTCCAGAAGGATGTAATATTACCTAAGTAAACAAGAAATAAGAAACTTCCAAACTCTAGAAATGACAGAGACATCTCATTGCCTGTACAGTCACCCAAAGTTCCTCTGTACCGTTGGGGCACCCATCTGCAGCCTACAGGCCCATAGTTTCCAGCAGACATTTCCATGAAGCAGGAAATTTCAAAGGCAGTTCAGTCACTATCTGCTGTGTCCTGCAGAATGTCTTGCAGACTCTTTCATGAATCAGGAACCCCGAAAGATCATCTCACCTTTAGGCAAGTTCAGTAGTCCTCTCTCTGCAGGTTCTCTGTGTCCAGTTTATGCAGTAGTCCGGGAAAGAGCAGTTTCTTGCCCAAATGGCTATCAAACTCCATAAGGATCCTCTTCGATGCCCATCTTTTTCTTGAAGTAGATTGGTGCTGCTAGGAGAAGATGTGTCTCATTGTCATGAAAAGTCCTAAGTTATTAAAACATTAAATGTCATATTCTGTAGTCTTTGAAAGATATGAAGAATGCCTATCTAAAATATATCTATACACATCTAGAAAATCTAACTAACATGACTACAAACTTGACTATTATAATCTATTAACAACCTATATACATTACATTTTTAAATGAACTACACAATCACAATACCTTAAGATCAGAAATACATATACATATAACAAAATTGACCTTAAACTTGTATCAATAAACCAAGATTCATACCAATGCAAATTATTCACACGTATATCATATTCCCCTTTAAATGTAAAAGAACATTTATAAACAATATTTGGGAACATGGGCACAGTTTTTTGTCTCTCCAGACTGCTTCCTGCTGTATGTTAATCAGGTCTTTCATGGTGTAACCTGTGTGCTAGGTTCCTCTCAGTTGGCAGTTGAGCAAAGTAATTTTTTGAGGGTGTTCACAGCAACCTTTCAGGAGGGTGTGGTCTATCATACCATATTGGGATAGAAGCAATCCACAGGGTCTCATCCTTATGAAAACAAAAGAATCTCTTTTCCAAAGTATCTTATCCTTAGATCCAGATTCTGAAGTCAAGGTATTTTCAAAATATCTATCTTGGATTAGTTCAGCAGCATTTATAAACAAATATCTTTTAGCAGCTGTTGCTCCTTCCTCAGCAAACAACTCAAAGAGAGCATAATAGCATACAGTATCAAAATTCTCTGTGTATTTTCCATCTTTGTGCGGCTTTGTTTTAACCTCTATTTTGTTTATTTTTAGAGACAGGTTCTCTGTATATCTTTGTCCTAGAATAACTCTGTAGACCAGACTGTCCTTGAACTCAGAGAAATCCGTCTGCCCCTGCCTCCTCAATGCTGTGATTAAAGGTGTGTGCTACCACTCCTTGAACTCACAGAGATCTGCCTGTCTCTGCCTCCCAGGCATAGGGATTAAAGGCATGTGCTACCACACCTGAAGTCACAGAGGTCAATCTACCTCTGCCCCTTGAAGTCTCAGAGGTCAATTTACCTCTGCCTCCTAAGTGTTGGGATTAAAGGTGTGTACTAACACACACCCAACTACTCTCTCTCCC